TGGTAGCAAGCATACAGGAGTCCATACCAGTTTTCACTCAAATGATGTGCCACGTCGGTCCTACCAGGCATGAATCAGACAGGATTCCCGCTACGGAAGAAGAGAGAATTGAGAGAGAAAGGAAAGATGAAGAGAGGAGACAGCAGGAGAAGAAAGAAATAGAGGAGTTGCATACGAAGATCAATAATAATTTGGCGGAACAGTTGAAGGTTGGGCGAGAAATTCTGAAAAAGAAGGTGGTCAAAGACGGTGAACAGGATGAGGTGGCCTAGTTAAGACTAGAAATGGAGAAGTTGCAGAAGGCACAGAAGAAGTTAGGAACCTGCTCGACGTCAGAAAGCGAACTCGACAGATTTAAGAAGGAACAAGATGAAGAACGTGCCCGTGCAGATCGACGGTTCGCGCTCATGGACGAAGAAATCGCAAGGCTTAAGAAGGTCAACGAGGAAGCATTAGTGTCTGTGGAAGCATGGAAATCGGAGGCGTTCCGGCCAGGGAACAAGAGGGGCAATATTGTAGTTACTCCAACTCCGGTCGTGACCACAAGAACGTGTGCTCGTTTTGCACCAAGTTGCTCTATGCCAAAGGACAAGAAAAAATAACAAGAAATGAGGGCACAACAGGAGGAACAGGAACACGAGATCGAGTTGTTGAAGGAATGGAGGTTGCGGGAGCTAAACGGGAGAAGAGAGTCAGAGCAGGAGGTGGAGCGGCTGAAAGAAGAAATGGCAAAGTTAGAAATGGATATGAAGAAGAGAACACCGGTCATGTCGAATTTGAAGACTAGAATGGATGGGGCAACAGTCGGCACCACGGATAAAGGGAAGCGTCAAGCCACTTCAAAGACTGGAAGACCTGGCGCCAGCAAGCGGGAGGCTGTCTTGGAGGAGATTCGTCGTTTCCTGAGGCAGAAAAAGAAAGACTTCGTTCAAGGGATCTGCCAGGATGAAGAGATTGAGTACACTACTCTGGACAAGACAAAGAAAGTAATCGCGCAGAAACGAGTGGATGCTGCGTGTGGAAAAACGGATGCGATGAAAGGTGGGGTTGTAATCCACGAGGTCTCGGAGAATGATGAGCGGGATCATCACGAAAGTACAGAGGATGGCAATGATTCCGGTACTTCGTGACTTCATTTCCGAATGCGGCGTCCATTT